ACGGGTGTAGGCACACTAAACTCCTCCAAATGGTCACGATCCTCAATAACACGAAATGACGACCCAAAGGACATGGGAACCACCTCATTCTCAACATCCCAATGCATCTCATCCACACACGGCACATCCGACTCAACAACATCTAAATGCTCGGATTCCTTCTCACTACCATTATCATCCTCCTCCTCATCATCACCAACACCTTCATTACCCCTCGGCTCACTCAAACCCTCAATTAAATTATCTCCCAATCCATCCTCAACATCAACTTCCGAAACCATACTCTCTTCCTCAACAATCGAATCAAAACCCGCACCAAAACAAAAATGTAGAAAATTTTGACGTACCTAGTGTAGAATCCAAGTCCACGTCATCACAAGGAGGAAGTTCTTCGACAATAAGCTCATTGGTGTCCTCACTCGTATCTAGAGGTTGAGTCCCATCGTACACGGGAGTGAGGCCCTTCTCTTTCAAGGAAGCACAATGATCCACCATAACCCGAAATTCGCTCTCTAATCGAGTGCTCTCTCGAATAATCTTCGCCGATAGAGTAGAATATCTACCGAGCGGAATAGAAGATGAATCCAAGTCGAGAAAAGACACCACGGTGGAGTCGAACTTCTCAAGTGTAGCACGGAGAGCGGATGGAAAGAGATGCACCTCCAACTATTGAACTCCTCGATGATCGACGCGAGGCTCGCGAGTGCGTCTTTGGGTCAGAACATTTGCAGCTGAGGGAAGTTGTTCCTTTTGCCTCCTTGGGTCAGAACATTTGCAGCTGGCATCATATTCTCAAGGCCATTGGAGAGGTTTATCTCAAGACCCTCAAGCCTGCTTTCAAAGCTCAAAATGAGAGCATGGACTTCTCTAAGAGAATAGGGTTCAAGTCTGGCATTGACAGTCACCATCACTGCATTGTAATCACTTCCTAGCCCAGTTAGGATGTATGAAATCTGTTCTTCCTCAGTAACAGTTTGGCCTGCGGCTGAAAGCATGTCACAACAACCCTTCACCTTGTTGAGGAAATCTCTCATGGACATGTCTCCTTTCTTGAGAGTTTGGAGCTGGAGCCTGTACTGCATAATCTTGGCTCGAGATTGAGAGGCAAAGCTAATGCCTAAAGCTTCCCATAGCTCTTTGGATGTGGAGAGTCCCACGGTAGTGACCAGCAATGGTTCACTTAAAGATGACAGGATCCAAGAAAATAGAAGTTGATCTTGCCCTTTCCATTGAACAAATTGTTGATTGATGCTCTGTTGGCCAGATTCAGAAGTTATAAGTTGATCTGGTGCGCTTCTTGTTCCATCTATGAAAGATTCAAGGCCATAACCGCAGATTGCAGCCAAGATCTGTTGCCTCCAAACCAGATAATTATTTTCAGAGAGTTTAATGGTCACTAGTTGGCTTTGAGGTTGGATAAGAGCTGGAAGGGCCATCGTATTGTTGTTAGATATTTCCATGGATGGAGATTAGGGGACCAAATCAGAAAAGAAAATAGAGGAATGATGAAGAAACAGAAATCATGAAAAGAAATTAGGCCCCAGGTGTTATCCCGGGGCTCTGATACCATGAAGGCACAAATTCACGAGCATGAAAGCAGAAGGAATAAAATGTGCGGCGGCTATTGAATTGTCAATCATTAGGTTTTACAGAGAGAGAGCTATTATTTATAGCCATTAAGAATAACCCTAGGATACTAGGAATGATCTAGAATAGGGACATCTCATACAAGAAGACAAAATATCATAAGTAAGATGAGAACAAAAATATAAAAGGGAGAGCTGCCACTTTGGCAGCTTGCATGGCAATGCATGGGGCCACTAGGAGGTTTTCGTATTGTCTTTCATCACACTCGTTGCACTTTCGTCCTTTAATTGTTTTTCGGTTTACAATTGATACACTAACTTTTTTCGTAATTATAGTCCAAAATGGCATTCCGGTGCTCATTTTCGTCGAAATAGCTGATGTGACGCCAGTTAGATCGGAATTTCCATTCTCGGCGTGATGTGGCACGAGGTGGCACCAGTCAGATCGGCAAAATTGCACTATTCGTCTACTAATTGTACATTTGTTGCACTTTCGTCCTTTAATTATTTCTGATTTAAAAATCAGAAAAAATATTAAAAAAATCAAAATCAAAAGAAAAAGCTTTAAAAAGAAAAAGAAAAAATCAAAAGAAAAAGAAAAAAATATAATTTTTTTATTGAATAAAAATTATTTTTTAATTTAGTAAAAACCGAAATATTTAATGATTAAATAAAAAAAAATATTTTAAAAAAAACAAAATAAATTTATAATGAGTGATTAATATTTTTTATTTAATGATTAAGTATTTAATAAAAAAAATATCTAATAAAAAACGAAACACATTTTTTTTATTAAAAATTTCATTTTTCATTAAATATTTAACCATTAAATAGAAAATATTCATTAAATATTTATTACTCATGAAATAATTATTTCGTTTTATATTTATTTTTTTTATTAAATTTTTCTTTTTTATTTAATCATTAAATATTTTGTTTTTTTTTATTTAAATAATAAAATATTTTTTCATTAAACAAAAAAATGATAAATATTTCTTTTTTATTTAATTTTTAACCATTAAATAAAAAATATTTATTTCTCATTATATATTTATTTTGTTTTTCATTTCTTTTTTTAATTAATTATTATGTTTTTAATTAAATAAAAAATATATTTTTATTAAGTAAAAAAAATATTTTTTCTAAAATCATTAAAAAAATGATTTTTTTATTAAATAATATTCCGATCTGATTGGACGCTACATCAGCTATTCCGGCGAAAATGAGCACCGGAATGTCATTTTGGACTAAAATTACAAAAAAAAAAAGAAGTTAGTGTACCAATTGTAAACCGGAAACAATCAAAGGACGAAAATGCAACGAGAATATAATTAGTGTACGAATGGTGTAATTTTTTCTATTAATATTAATTAATTGGATTCCAACGGTTGAGTCTTACACTTTAAACTAGGAGACAGAGGATTATCCTATTAAAGGCGTTTAATTTATGCTCTTCTCATACTCTGTTTATTTAGAGAATCGTAAGAGGCAACAAAATCTGCATATATGAAACCCTTTCCTTTTTCTTTTTTGTCTAGAGACACACACTAACAACTCAGAAAGGTTCTGCTTAGGTGCTTTAAGTGCTAAGCCCCAACTCATGTAATATATTGTTTGTTTGTTTTCATAATATGCATGTTTTGGGTTTGAATCTTATTTAGTTTATGTTACTTACAGCAGTCATCATGGAAACAAGAGTGGCTTCACCAGCTCATTTTCTGGTCAAGATCAAATCTTTTTCCTTGTTTGAGAAGCATGGTATCAAGAAATTCAAGACGAGGGAATTTGACGCTGGGGGATACAAGTGGTACGTGACCCGGGCAATGCTCATGTTATATATATAGCACAAAAACACAACTAAAAATTCACTTCTCATGATTGCCATATGCAGGAAGCTTAAGATTTACCCAAATGGAAGGGATGAACACGAAGGGTACGTGTCGGTGTACTTAGCCATTGTGGATGATGGCTTGCGTGCGGGCTGGGAGGTGAATGCCGACTTCACGATCTGCTTGTTTAATCAGATTTCATGCAACTATCGCTATTCACAAGGTAAATTTTCTACTACTCAACTATATTTGGGGTGAAAATCAAGATTTCTAAAGTATAAGGTGGTAACAGGAAAAAGTCGTCGTTTTCTTGCAATGAAGACAAAATGGGGCTTTCCCAAGTTCATCTCCAAGAAAGAACTTAACGATCCTCTCAACGGATTCCTCAGCCACGACAATTGTGTGTTTGGTGCTGAAGTTTTTGTGAAAGAAAATAAAGCAGTGATTGATTATCTGTCTTTGAAGAATGTTGTTGATGCTCCCTTCAAGAAAAAATGGAACATTCCCAACTTCTCTAAATTGGGGAGTGAATGGGTTTCACCCGAGTTCTCTGACGGATGCCATAAATGGTATGTTAGTTAATCTTCTGGGCTTCCCTTCTAATTCACTGATTGTATTATTTTTTTAGTTCTTTTTTAGGTGACAAAGTATTTTTTTTTTTTTTTTTTNNTTTTTTGCAGGAGTATAAAGTTGTATAAAAATGGAATTGGGGAAGCTAGCGGACACTTCTTATCTCTTTTCTTATACTATATTCCTAATCCTACGGATGGTAACAATGAACGACTGCACACGCGCTTTACAATCTGCATGAAGAATCAGCTTAGCAGTAAACACGAAAGTTACGTCGGTAAGACATCATAAGAACTTGAAATTTCCAAATTAAAATAAATCTCATTTTTCTTATTTTATGAATTTTATGAAAAAAAAATTTACTTTCGGAACATCTTGTGTTGTAGGTAATGATTGGTTTTCAGCTGGAAAGCTTAGCTGGGGATGGCATTCATTTCTTGAGGTTGATAAGGTGAATGATCCTAATGAAGGCTTTATCGTGAACGATTGTTGTATTATAGAAGTAGAGATATCTGTGCAAGCTATAGCAAGCTCAGGCTGATTTCTCTATCAACTTTCAAACCACAAACCAGAAGAAGTTTTGTTTTACAAGTTTTTTCACTATTACTTAAGTATGGATGAGACTTTATTCGACTGAGTTTTGCATTGATTTTTTTTTTTTATATATATATATATAGTTCTTAATATATAAGATTAAAAAATACTTGTTTATAGTTACCAAATTTATATAATTAACGAAAAGGTGTCATTATTAAAAAAAGGGCGTATAACAACGCAAATTACTAGTCTCATCTCACCAAATAACACTAAAATTCACTCGATTTAGTGTTTGATTTGCAAGCACTCCGCACACTCATTTCTTCTTAACATTATTTCTTCCTCACAAGTGGCTTTCACTCATATCCTTTCTCCTGTCATCTAGCAACTCAGATTTGCCCCTGGATCGACACCGAGTTGCTTACAATAGTTTAAGTAGTACTTAACACGACTAGCAACCGTGGCCGGATTTGCTCCATTGCATTCAAGTTTGCCGTTTATGGCATTGATTGTGGCTCCGAATCCTTTCCCATTCGTAATAAGGTCGTGACAGTTTAACTTCCAAAACCAGAGTGCGGTCTTGAATGAGATAACCGAATCTCTAGCTACAATATCGGGATCTTCCAATCCTTTGAAATTTATGCTATCACCAGCCGCGCCATAATTGTAGTTCCACGATAACTGTAGTGGGCCCCGCCCATAGTAGCCCTTACCAGGCGTGCACGGATATTGCGTGCTAGTTTTGTCACAGTAGTCTCGAGACGTACCGTTGATCTCTTCAATATAGCACATATCTGCAAGATTGATAATATAATTTGGTAACTAATTGACTAAGATCTACTTTTTAATAATTTATAGAGATTTATTTGATAATTTCGTAAATTATCGAAATACACAGACTGTTTGTTAGACAACCTAACAACATGACAATCAGTCGTACATTTCGAACAGGAATGCATACTTATAATGTGATTTAACGTAGTTTTATTTACGTTAAATTAATTGTTTTTTTGAAGTATGATATCTCGTTTTGAAATGCACATTGGTTTGAAAAAAATACATCCGCCTAACACTTCACCGAGAAAATATAAATACAAAAACTTACACCCAGTCTCATGCGTAACATGCGCGAAAAACGCTGCAACCTCGCGCTTGGAAGCTTCTACCGGTCCCTGAGTTCCTAACTCGGGATAATCTCGTAGCGCCTGCAGAAAAGCCGAGCGCGTATAGAATCCTTTCCCCTTGCAGCTCGGCTGGGATTTCTTTAATATCTTGTTAAAGAAAGCATCGGTGACAATGTCAGTCACATTTACTCCGTTATTGCCTCGTGGAACAGTGCACGGCCCGAACTGACAACCGTTGCCACAGTAGTCATCGGTTGTGCCACAGTAGCCGAATCTGCTGCAGCACATGTTGGGAGGGCACGAGCTGCAGTTTGCGGCCGAGGCCCATTTCCCGTTCGCCAAGAGTAAGACGACGAGCAGTGAGTAAATCGAGAGCAGGGAGGTTTTTGGGGTGAAGAAATTCATGATTCGAATATTTTGGAGTGGTGAGGAAATAAGAGAAGGTTTTAAGGGTACTTATAGTGATTAATTGATGGATCATTGGATCTGTAGGGCCTCGTGACATTTGAAAGTTTGCTGCCCAAGATATTTGATTGTTGACTTTGTTGGAGGGAATGAAGAAATTTTTGTGTATTAATTCGTTTTTCACCGACCCTGTGTGTAGGTGATTATATTATTGGAAAATGCTATGGTCCCGTTACAGTATCATTCCGTCGGGTATTTTAACTGTCGGATCATCTATCTTATACTAACTACAAGTGTATCCAAAGGTTAAAACATCCGACGGGATGGTACCGTAACGAGACCGACCGCAGCATTTCCCTATATTATTATATTTTTAAATTATTGTCTTGGTTAAAATATACAATTCCTTCTGCATTAATTAAGGAAAATGTTTTAGCTTCATAGTTTTGGTAAAAAAAAAAAAAAATAACTGTTGGTTTAGATTCAAAGGTTATTTTTATTATCCAATCATGATTCTTATCAACCTCTGAACAATTTTGTTGGGAACGGCAACATAGACA